CCACCCAGCTTCCTCTCTGACGTGGCACCTTGGCATTGCTCTCTGGCCTCCAGCCTTGCACTTCAGAGCAGTCCTGGGGTAGGGGGTGTCCCCTTGCATGCCTGGCAGTGGCATTCTTCCTCCATCAGGGGGCCCCAGAGCTTGACAGGTGCCCCTGTGAGGGCGCCTCGGGGAAAACTCACGGTTTCCCCTCAGTGCTCGCAGCTGACCAGGCATGTGGCCATCGAACGTGCTCTAAGAGGGTCTCTGGGTTAGACCACCGGCTCAGGCAGCCAGAGACTGCCTGACTCTCTGTCCCCTACCTCCCCGGGCTCAGTACCCCACATTCTCTGCAGAAGTGAAACCGCATGCCCCTGGGCCAGTGTGCATGGGCACCTTTCTCCCTCCCCCCGGCTCTGTCTGTCATCCTCATAGGCAGGACAGGTTTCTCCGCTGGTGAATGGACAGAACTGTAGTGGCTACCTTTCCAGCCACTGCTCCCCAGTCCCAGACAGCTGAGCCTGTACGGCAGTGTCCCCACTGCTCCCAGGGGCTGCTGACATTTGGCGGGGGTTGCCCACATTCTAATCCTTCTCTTGATCTAGCTTCTCTGCCTGTGCCCCTGTCTCCTCCACCCACCCCACTCGTCTCCTCCTTCCTCACTTCTCCCTTTCTTCTCCCTCCATGCATTTCCCATTTCTCCCCATTTCCTATTTCTCCTCCTCTGTCATGTCCCCAGCCCCTCCTTCCGCCTCTATCGAGACTTGTCCTGTCTCACCTGCCTGTGTTCTCCTGACAGCCCATCTCTCCCCTCTCTTCTCTTGTTCCTCCTCCCTCCTCGCTCCTTGACCAGTCCCATCTCTCCCTCTCCTTTGGACCTCCTGGAAACCCCTTCCACCTGCTGGCAGGGCGTAGGGCCTCTTACCCCTCGTGGCTCGGTGGTGTCTCTGTGGGGCCCTGTCCATGGGGCAACTCCCTGGGTGCCGTCCTTGCTGCCCTGGCTGCCCAGGAGGGCAGGGAGCAGGGCCCAGGGGAGGGGGGAGGGTGGAGGCAGGGAGCACCTGGCCCGTCAGCAGGCAGGGGAAAGGAGTGGCTGGCAGAGCGTCCTGGCACCAGGAGGGGACAAGGGGAGGGACCAAAGGAACAGACTTGGAGCTCTGAGGAGCAACAGGACAGGTGAAGGGAAGGGAAAGGGACTAGCATTTGCTGATCACCTACTGTGTGCTTGGCCCTTTGCCATGTACTTTATGTAGATTCATGATTTTCTTCAATCCTCACAACACCCACCAGGAGGCAAACATAATTACTCCAGATTTACCCATAAGCTAAGTGTTGCTCAAAGGTATTAATGATTTAACACACTTGCAAAAGGACAGTAAGTGGTTGAGCTGTGATTTGAACCTGGGTCTTTGTGACTTCCAAATCACAACGTGCTTTTTCTCCCTGACAGATGACAGGAGATAGGGAGATGGGAGAGGGAGGTACGCTTATCTGGAGGGATTGCACCTCTTCCTCAGGATGTGATCAGACATCCCAGCGGTCCCTTGGTTCCTTGAAGCCACTGCCTGCTCAGCCCCGCTCTCTCACTGCCCTTCCCTAGGATTCCTGGACTCCTTGATGCCTCCACCTCCTCCTGGGCTGTCGGGGCCTGAGGGAGTGTGGAGGCAGAAGAGCAATGGGAGGGGAGTAGAGAAGAGAGGTGCTACACTTCACTAGTTGGGGGGCAGGAGGTCCCCCAGGCTGAGTGGGCCCACACTGGCACCTGCACTGAAGAAGGGCTCTGTGGAGGGGAGGGCTGCAGGATGGGGAGGCTTCAGCAGGTCCTGGATGCCACTTCTTTCCTGCACAGCCTTGGCCCAGAGTTTGATTAGCTGGGCCTGGCTCTCCTCGTTACCCAACAGACCAGCTGGCTAGGGGCCAGCCTGCAGTGGGGAGGCTCCCTGGCACCTCCTCCTGCTTTCCCTCGCAGCTGGTAAACAGCAGAGCAAAAGCCGGCCACGCCACAGCCTCGTGACCTTCCCACTCCCCCCCACCTGGTGCACGTGGCACCTGGCGTGGAGAGGGCAGGCAGCTGTCCCTTCCCTCTGGGCCCTCCCATCTCGCCATAGTCTACTCCTGCCTGGCCCTGGAGTTTCACACTCTGCTGCCATCAGCACCTCTGTTCCTGGGTAGCTCCCAGAGTCTCCCAATGGCTGCAGTTTGAGGGACAAAAGTTAGAAGTAAAGGAGGAATTTCCAACTCCCCAAATGGTTGACAGAGGAGATGGGGAGTGAGGAAGAGCGGGGTGGAAACTTTGGGAGACCATGTTGTATGGAGAGTAGGGTGTGTGTTTGCACGTTTGAGCCTCTGACTATCCCCGTGTCCTTTTGGTAAATTCGTGGCCCACGCATCTCTATGCACTTCCCTGCACAAAACAGGATGTTGGTCTGTTTTGGGGCTCTGTCCTTAGGCAGACTTGAAATAAGAAGCAAAGCTCTCCAAAATACCACCCCACCCAGCACCCTCTGGCAGAGGAGTAGAGCTAGCAGAAGGCAGAGGGACAGGGTGCTGGGCCCTGATGTCCTGCTCCCCCTGCCCTCTGGCGCCTGGATTTGCTTCCAGTCAGTATTTTCTGTCTCTCCCTGACCCTTTCCCTGTCTGTGGCTCTTCTGTTTTCTGTCCTCTCCAACTCTTCTTTCTCTGTCTCTTCTCTTTAAGCCCCTCTTCCTCTGTGACTCTGAGTCCCAGGCCCTTCCTGACCTCCCAATCATGGACACAGAGTGAGACCACGCAGAGTGCCTGGGAATGGACACTTGGCCGTGGCACTGTGCCTGGCAGCCCTGCCTGCCCTAGATACCACAGGTATGGCTGCCTCTCCCAGCTGGGCCACTTTGTACACTGTGTGGGATGGGGAGGAAGTGAGGGGTGGGGCAAGGGGTTGGAAGACAGGGTCCTGGCCTCTAGGCCTAGGTGAGTCACACGCTTCTCAGATATTTTCCTGTCTCTACCCTTTTTCTTCCCTAAGGAGCATGGATGACTGCAGTTCTTTCTCCCCAGGGCAAGAAGACACCTTGGTCATCCTTTTGGGAAGTTCCCCTCGGGCCTAACCTTCCCTTCTGCTCCAATCACAGCCCCTTTTCTGGATGAATCAGTCCTTTCAAAGCAGGGTGTTTCCTTTTCAAATACATTTTTATATTCTTATGCAAGGAGGAGGCTGATAGGGATCAAGAGAATCATTTTACCCCCACGGTGCCCAAGTTCTTTTATCGGGCTGGGGCATCTCAAAGCAGGGGGCAAGCAGCCTGGAGGGGGTGGAGGGTGGTGGTGGGGGCTTGGAACTAGGGAGCAGTCACCAACTTCTCTTTCCCTTCCTCCCCACCCCCTAAACCACAGAAACCACTTAAAGCTCAGTACAAGCCTGTCCTTCTAGGGAGGCCCTGGGGTTGTGAAGGGGAAACGTATGTGGGTCTTGGACAGTCTGCAAGCCCTACCACCCTGGTGCCACCCTTTGAGGGCTACCCCCTCTGGGAAGCCTGATCTCATGATTAGAGACCAGTTTTCTTTGGGTCCTTTCTAGGAGGCCCATGCCTGGGGACACCTCAATCTACTGGAGTGATTCAGGGAAGGGGCGGTACCCCCTCCCCCTCATCCATTAAAAAAGAACCCTCTCTCTGTTAACATCTGTAGATCTTACAGCTTCCACCCCTCCCCCTTCCTATCACAAAGGCCACTGTGGGTGGAGGGAACAGCTGGAGTTTGACCCCAGCTCCTGGCCCTGAACTTCAAGAAGGGTTGAAAAGCAGGAGCTCTGAATTTGGGAACCAAAAGACTCGGACAAGAATGTGTCCTGCCACTTGTTAATCCTCAGTTACAAAGGGGTCTGACTCGTGTTTGTGAAAGTGCTTGTGCTTGGAGGCCAGAGCAGTCCGTGGCAGGAGGTGTTCTTAGGACCTGATCTGCCCCAGGCGATATCTGTGGCGTTAGCTAGCCAGGAAGTTCCTCCAGGAACACTGTGGTCCCCATCACAGGGGGACAGTTCACAGCCATGAATTCTGGGTGAAATGCTCCTTAATAGGGTGGACTTGAGTACTACCTCACAACCTCCTCTGAGTGGCAGGCGGCAGTGAGGGCCTGGGTGGAGCCACAATCCTCAGTCTTCCCTGCAGCCAAGCTGATCACCAGGTAAATTTACTTTCCCTCTCTGATCTAGCTCCTCAGTAAAATGGGTATATACGTGCATGTGGCAATTAGCTGGGGTAACACAAGTAAAACACAGGACCTCGTACAAAGAACTTGGTCCCTTTTTCCTCCCTCCCTCCATTCCTATAACCTTCCTTTCTTCTTTTTATCTGACTCTCCTTTCCTATGCTCCTTTTTTGCTTCATTTTTCTCTATAACATATCACCTAGTTACATTTTTTTTTTTACATTTAACTTGTTTATTTTGTGTCTTGGCCAATCCCCACATGTGAGTGGACCACTGCTGTAGCCTATGCCCATTGTCTTGCAGGCCCTCCTTCAGTGTTTGTTGGAGAAATGCATGAACAAAGGCTAAGTGACCTCCACATTCCTTTCCAACTGTTTTCAAATGGTTGTTGCAGGAAGATTTGGGGTTGTTGAAGGAAGAAGAGAACAGTACTAGAGATAGCATTAGACTGAGGGGTGGCCTTCACAGACTGAAATGGTTGGAAGGGGGAGACCCCTTTTAGAGTGACCTGGTGGGGAGACAGCAGCTGGCATTGAGGGATATTATAGTGAAGTGACTCTGGAGCTAGACTTCCTGGGTTGGAATCCTAATTCTAATCCTCACTAGATAAATCCAAGGTCATGCTGAACCTAGTAGTACTTAGCTCTCATGGGGGTTGCTGAGAGGAATAAATGACTTAAGTTGTTGGAACTTGGACAACAACTAGTTCTTTGCCTGGTGACAATCTTGTTGGTCAATGCTACCACCTGGTGGACACCTGGAGCAAGCCATGTGCCTGGCCTAGGTGGCCTCCGGCTAGGGCGGAAGAACCTAACTTCAGGAAGCAGATGGAACTAGGGAGCTGTTTGGAGAGGTGTGTGTGTAGTGTTAGCTTTACACACGCAGAGGTGTATCAGGATCCAGCAGGCTGGGCCCTGTATCAGGGCCCTGTGGAAAATGAGAAAGGGCCCAAGGGAAAGGGCAAAAGAAGCTGGCCCAGTGCCTCCCTCCTTCCCTCCTACCCTCCTCCAAGCCTGGCCTGAGCCAAGAGGAACCAGCTCCAAGGAAGGTGGAAAGACAGAAGAAGGTCACTGCTGACGTCAGAGACATTCAGGTAGGAGGTAAACACAATCTGACCTACATTCATTCATCCACCTTCCACACCCTCCCCTGACTCACTGGGGTGCCCTTTTCTGGGCATCCCCAGCTCTCACATTCCTGTAGGACCCCCTCCTCACCCAGGGTCTCAATTCCTGGGACATCACATCTTGGTCATTCAGTACCTAAGTGCTACTCTTGCTCTGGGCTCTGGCTTTGCCCCCCAGGGTGGCACAGGTGTGGAAGGGACAGGCAAGAGAGAGGACACCTAAAGGCACTTCCAAGACCCGGACATTTCACCTTTCTTCAGGAAAGATGTGGCTCATGTAGGGAGGTGGATGGGTGAGGGACCTTTGATTTCTCCAGTGTAGCCCCAAGGAGCCCTCAGGGGAAGGTGGCTTAGGTTGGTTTTAGTCACAGAACTTTTTCTGGAGCGATTCAGTGACTGGAGGGCCCCCTGAAAGGGTGGGGGCCTTGTTGGACAGGGACCCTACGTCCTCTCAGTTGAGACCTACTGAAACTAGTGTCAGAGTCTCTTGGGGAATGGAGCCCAGGGCTCTGCATGTTTAACAAGCTACCCCAGGGTTTCTGGTGTCTGGCTATTCTGACGCTCTTTCCAGTTTGAGAACAACTACTTTAGGTCTGCTCCAACTCAGACCACCTGAATGAGCTCCTTCCATACCTGTACGGCCAGGGCAGAGGTAGGGGGTTGGGCTGCAGACCTGAGAGTCTGTAGGGTGCAAAAAGCGGAGATATCTCACTAGAGACAAACAGACCTTTTATTAGCAAAAAATAAATACGCGCTAGGCAGATGGAAGGAATGGGAACTGCAGACCCAGAGGAAGAGATGGTCTCAGTCTACAGGCTGAAATGCGCAGGTGCCAAGGACGCCCCTGGACCTAGTCCCCCACCCAAGGGGGGCAGCAAGGCAATCAGGGGCGTCTCACACTCCCCCAGCAGCACGTCCCTGCGCAACCCTGCGCCCCTTTCCACAACCTTGGCCCTCAGACTGCGGGCGGCCAAGTCTGGCGGGCCGAGCCCGTCGAAGAAGAAGTCCTCGTTGAAGATGGGGTTGGCGCTGCATCTGACCACGCGGCTCCGCTGGCCCCGCGGCCGGACGCGCGGCCGCAGCCCTAGCACTACAAAGCAGCCGCCGCCGCTCCCGGGGCGGGCTCGCGGGCGGGGCAGACCCTCGGCGCTGACCAGGCGCAGCCGCAGTTGCCCGGGCCCGGCCTGGTACTCGGCGGAGAGGCGCAGCTGCCCGCCGCGGGGCCCGAGGCGCAGCACGCTCTCCTTGGTCGGCCGCAGCTGGCAGCACAGGAAGTCCAGGTGGAAGAGCGGCGGCGGGGCGGGCTCCGCGCGGCGCGGCGCGTACGGGCTGGTGTCGGCCGAGCTCGCCTCCTCCGGGGACAGCGAGTGCGGCCTGGGCGGCCGGGCCTGGCCCGGGCCGGGCCGCGGCGAGCTGAAGGGCGACGACTCCGGCGACGAGGCCGTGTCGCTGTCGGGGGCCCAGCAGAGGCGCAGGTCCGGGGCGGAGCCGTGCAGCCGGTCCCGTGCCGGGGGAAGCCTCTCGGCGGGGGCGGGCTGCGGCGAGTGGAACAGGGACTCGCGCCGGCGCGTGTGCGGGCTTTCCGGCAGGAAGGCCCAGCCTTCGCGGCCCGCCAGGTGCGGCAGCGAGCAGGCCGCCGGGAGGCCCCGCCCGCTCGCTTCGCGCGCAGGTTGGGGTTCTGCGCCTCCGGGGTCCGGGAGCCGAGGTGGGATGAAGAATTGAGGGATGCGATCGGGGGTGAGGACGTTGGGGCAGGCGCGTGCGGTAGGGCCCGGGCCGCGGCGCTTAGCGAACAGGCCGCAGGGCGCCCACCGGGCCCCGGGCTCCGCGGTCCCCACCCTGCAGCCAGCTTTCTCCAACAGCCACATGCGGTGGATGGGGGTAATGAAAGTGCGAGCTCCGAGAGGCCAGAAGGTGCCAAACGCAGGGTCTCTGTGGCGGTCTGGGGAGTTGGCTGGACGAGAGAAGAGAGGAGTCCGAGGTGGGTGTCACTGGAAAGAACACCCAGCCGTCCACCACCGTGACCTCGCCCGGGGCCCACGGTGCGCACGGGCCCCTATTTGAGCAGGAAAATCCAAAGGTGGCGAAGTCTGGGGGCTGCGGGAGAAACGGAGGAAGCCGGGGGCTAGACACATTTCCAGATGCAGGCCTTGGGACTTCGGAGTACACACTCATTGGTACTAAAGATGTCATCCACTTTAGAGTTAGAACACCCAACACACCCGCTGTCCTAGACTTCTGTTGTGAGACCAGAGTAACACCTGCTCATCAAAAGGTATGTCGTCACGAACAGGGGCCCAGGTCCTTAACCCCCTTCATATACACATTCATCCTAAGAGACACGGTGGCCCTTGGCCGGCTCACCCACCTCCAGCTCTCCCCTGCCCATGCCTTCGACTCGGGGTCTCCTCCAAGGTCTTCTCTGGAGCCCCTGGGAACCCCTTCCCGCCTTGCCCAGGCTGCTATTCCCTGTCCCACCGCAAGCTTCTCCAGGCTGAGCCATCCTTCCTCCGCAGCACCCTCCCGCAACCCCCCACCCCCCATCTGCCTCCTCTTGCTCCTCCCTCGCCTTCTCCAGTTACTCCAGGCTAGAGGCAGACTCGCTGCACACCCAGTTGCTGCCGACGGGCACCCAGGGCAATCCTAGGAGACGCACCCGGGACACAGAATTCCCCTCCGCCTTAAACCCTGAAGGTCCTGCCGCTGCCTGTCAGTCCCATCGCAGCCAGAGTCTGCAGGGCAGGACGGGCCTGGGCCGCCCCTCCCACTCTCCACTCCTTTCTTCCTAGGAAACCACTGAGCACAAAGGCAGCATTGATTCTCCGCCACCCCCAGCGGGCTCTGGAAGGCTACAGCCGCCTTGCGCTCTCCGCACCCCCTCGCCGCACCCCCACGTGCGCGGGGTTCCGACAGTCTGCCTGGGAGTCTGGGCCCATGCGGGCTTGGTCGGGCACCCAGAGTGCAGGCCTCACCTTTGGGCCGCCGCTAGGTCTTGGCCTCTGGTCCGGAGGCGTTCAGAGCCTGAGGGAGCAGCTTCCTCTCTAGCTTGCTCCCATAGCCCAGTCCTTCTGGGAGGAGCTGGCAGGGACCTCCGTTGCCTACGTACGACCTCTTTTCCTGGATAAACACCGCTCTGTCTCTGTGGCCATCAGCCCGGCCTTCTTAACTCCTTCCTCCAGCCAGGTTTCTAGCAGCGTGCCAGCCTAGTGCCCCCGCCTCCTCTGCTGGGCCCAGGCTCCTTGGGAGTTGGAGAGGGCTTCAGTGAAGAGGGAGGCGGTCCTCAGCGTGGGTGGCCTTCAACCCTCTCTGCTGCACCGGCCCCACCCAGCCCTCCTAGGTGAAGCCCACACCAGTCACATCTTCTGCAAAACCCTCCTTGCTGGAGTCCTGCCTTGGTCCCTATGTACAGATCTGGAGCCATCCCAATAGCTCCTAGACAGAGTGGCTGGCAGTGACTAGTTGTCTGAATTACAGTGGCCTGAGAAAAAGTGACCAGGCTTAGGATTTCTGAACATAAACACTGAGGAAAGAGCTGGTTCTGTCAGTAGTCCAAGTCAGGCTTGTCTACACGTCACCCCCCCCCCGCCCCCCCCATCCTTAGTAGAAGGCTGTTAAATTGTAAACATGGAGGATGTCCCCCTTTCCATCTCCCCATAGGCGGAGCCTGGGAAGCACAGGCCACTGCTGACAATGTGAGGCCCAGCCAACTGCAGGCCAGGCATACCCACCATCCTTTAGTCTCTCAAAGGCATCAAGCTCATTTCTTTCTTAGGACCCTCTTCCCTCCCTGGACCACTACCCCTTCATCCTTAAGGCCCGGAGGCACTCTCTGACGCCCAGCACTCCATACTTTTCCTTTACGGCATCGATCACATTTTTTTCCCTGTGATTTATGTATGCGATTATTCAATGTCTTACTAGACTGTACACATCATGAGGACAGTGCTTAGAACAAGGCAGGTGTTCAATCAGGATTATTAAATGAACTAATGATATTAAGCAGAATTGTACTTGAGTCACTTCTTTCCTCCATTGTGCTAGGTGCTGGGGAGACATAGGATGGAGAGGAGTCTAAGGGGAGAGACAGACAATAAATGTGCAAAGAGCAACAAAAAAAGATTGTGAAATGCAGGAAATAAACAAGATGCTTCTTTTGACCTGTGATATTTGAGGGTTTTGAGGAACAAGCATTTCTTATGTGGACATTCACAGCCACCCCCCAGCCCCCACATTCTTGTGGCTCCTGACTCAGCTTGGCCCTGAGCCTGGTGGCATGTCAGGGGCGGGTGGTCTTTGCGTCATGCTGCAGCCAAGAACTGACGGCTTTGGCATTAGTCGGGCTGGGACCTGGGCTCTGTGACACACTAGCTCTGCTGTGTGACCTCTGATAGGTACCTTCATCTCTCTGGGATCCACTTTACCCATCTGGAAAATAGAGAAAATATACCTAACTCTCAGAGCGGGCATGAGGATTACATGAAATCACATGGGCACCAGTGAGGTTGACTTCCAGCAAGGTACGAGAACACAGAAACCCCAACTCAGTCTGCTCTGACAATAAGGACACTTTTGGCTTCTGTAATAAGAAGTCCAGTGGTAGGGTAGAATTCAGGGGAGCTTGATTCTGTGCCTTTATTCATTCATTTATTCATCCACAGTTCTTTACTACCTTCTCTGTGGCAGGCACCGTGCTGGAATCTGGGGACACAGCAGTGAGAAAACAGATAAATCTCCGGGCCAGATGGAGTTTATACTTCAGTGGGGAAAGAAAGACAATAGACCAAGACAAATTAGTAAAAATAGTGTATTGGATGGAAGTCAGTGTTGGGGAGAAAAATTAAAGTAGGGAAGGCTCCCAGACAGTATCAGGAGAGTATGCAATTTTCAATAGAGTAGTCAGGGTGGCCACTTGGGGAACCCTGCGAAGGAGGGAGGGAGGGCATGAAGGAGTCAGGGAGGATATGTGAGGCTAGAGCATTCTACGAAGAAAAGTTGCAGATGCGAAGCACCTGAGGCAGAAGCATGCCTGGAGTGTTCGAGGAGGCAAAGAGGCCAGTGTAGCTGGAACAGAATGAGTGAGGGGAAGATGAGGTTAGACTGGTGGAGTTTGTAACCACTGTAACAAGTTCAGCTTTTACTTGTGGCAAGCTGAGGAGTGATGCGACTTGACAAGTGTTAGAAAGGTTGCTCTGGTGGCTATAAGTAGGAGGATAAGGATGTTAAGTAGAGAGATGAGATAGACTTTTGAAATAGTCTTTGCATGAGATGACTGGGGCATGGATAGGGTTGTAGCTGTTAGTTTCTGGACATAACTGAAGATTAAGTCAGTAGGGTTCTTATCCCTATCTAAAGGGAAAGAATGATGAGGTTTCTGGCCTGAGCAGCTGGCAGAATGGAGTTACCATTTACTGAGGGGGGAAGTATTAGGAGCTCAGTTTTGGATTTATTAAATTTGAGATGCCCATTAGACATCTAGCCAGAGATGTTGAGTAAGCATTTGGATATTCGAATCTGGAGCTCAGAGGAAAGATCCAGACAGGAAGTATAAATGCGGGCACCAAGAGAAATGTAAATGGGATTTAAAGTCACAAGACTTGATGAAGTGTAGGTAGCAAAGAGAAAGGGTGCAAGGACTGAATCCTGGGTGCTCCAGCATTTAGGGGTGGGGAGGATGAGGACCCAGCTGTGCCAGATGCTGCGGCAAGGTCTGGTACGATGAGGCCTGAGAAGTGACCATTGGATTTAGCAATGCAGTCATTGGTGACTTTGACAAGAGTAGTTTTGGTGGAGTGGTGGAGGCAAAAGCCACACTGGAGTGGCCCTGAGAAAGAGTAGGAGGAAGAGGGAGAGCAAAGGCTCTTGGAGAGTTTGCTGAAAGAGAAGAGAGAAGTGGGGTAATGGCCAGAGGGGGAAGGGTAATCAAGAGAGAATTTTTTCAACAACAGAAATAATGCTGTGTTTGTTCTGCAGATGGGAAAGACCCAATAGAAAGGGGGAAATTGATAACACAGAAGAGAGGAGAATTTTGGGAGCAATATTCCTGAGTAGACAAGAAGAAATAGGTGTGACACATAAAACAGACCGTGCCTGCTGTGGGAACAGTTTACCCACAGTTAGCTACTGGAGAGACAGTAGAATAAATGGGTGGAGATTGTAGGTGGAGATATGGTGGTGGAAGCTTATTTTTTCTGGATGCTTCTGATTTCTCAGTGAAACAGGAAGCAAGGTCATCAGCAGAGAGGAGGTGGTCCTAGGGGTTGGAGTAGAGAGGACCAGGAATAAAGCAGTCACCTAGGAGAGCAGGAGAATGGATGGTGTAGGGAACTGCAGGATGACCGCTGGGCAGTCCAACAGCCTCACTCAAGGGTAGTGATCATGACTTTTAAGTGAGACTGGACAGCGTGGTAGTGTTCTTTCTCCGGCTGGGCTCAGCTGCACAACGGAAAGGGGAAATGGGCAGAGATTTGTATTTAGCCAGGACTGTGTTCAATCACTGACACTTTACCTTCCTGCTCCCTCTTTCCTTCTGTTTCCTTCTCTTGGTGGATAGTAAGTTAATTAAAGCAAGGGTGCCCACCAGAGCGCTCACCACCTGTGCACTGCACAGCAGTGGGATTGAAAACCCACCAGAGATAATCTGCAGCCTGGCTGTATTAGTCAGGGTCCGATCAGGAATTTAGCACTTGCTAGGCCACTCAACAGAGGGAGTTTAACACAGGGAACTTGTTACAGAGGTATTGGAAGAGCTAAATAGTCAAATAGGACAGTGAGGGCTGTTTAGCAGGATCTGTAACTATGGAGACAGAGCCACTACTTGAGTTACCTCCCAAAGCAAAAAGAAGAGGAGAAATACATAACTTCTACCTACTTCCCACCTTCCAGTCTTTGGTAAAACTTCTCCAGTCCTTGACATCTTCCTGGATGTCAATCACCTCCACATACTGACCTCGACGGAATCCTGTCTGTTCCTGTGGAAGAAGCTGTTTCCCACCCCTGTCCTCCACAGGTACCACTGTTCTCACTGACTTATCCAGCAACCCCCCTGGGTCTTGCCAGCTGGCTCACACCTTCCTTTTACCCCAGGTTGGTGCCACTCTAGGTACCTGTTTTCCACCAGCAGCTAGGCCTTCAGCATGCTCGGCCCACATGTACTTGGGCAATTTGTTTTCCTGGTCTTCGTAGTGACTTATCCAATTCATTATCCTTCCTCTAGAACTTTCCTCCTCTGATGGTCTTGCCTCCTATTTCACTGAAGAAGTCAAGGCACTCTTGGATGAGCCCTGTCAACTTCCCCTCCTGTTCTGCCCCCACCCCTGCGCACTCCTTCCCTTTGGTCTCAGAATCATGCTGATGCTCTCCCCTGACTACTGTCTCCGAAGTGCCCTTGACCCATCTCTAAGACCAGATGGCTGTGCTGCTGGATGACACCTGTCTCTCCCCTAGAGTTTCAGCCTCTCTCCACTGGCTCCTTCCAAAGCAATTTATAAATGCACCCAAACCTTTTTCTTGAAATAACATTTCAACAACCAAATTCCTAGAAAGAATCACCCAGTTTCACTTTGTCACTCCCACTCATTGTTTTATCCACCCTAATCTGGATTTTGCTCCCACCTCCTAGCACAGGAGACCACCACTTTCCTCATGGCCAAATCCAAAGGCCTGTTTTTACTTGTCATCTGTCTTGCCTTCTCTTAGCATCTGATACAGCTGACCTCACCCTTGTAAGAACCGCACTCCTGTTCTGTTTCAGCCTCCTTAGCGCGTCTTTTGTGCTCTGCCCCAGCTGTAAGCCTTAGTGTGACCAACGGTTCTATCTCTGACCCTTTTCCTGTCCTTCCTTTCTCTCTCCTCCTCTCACCATCATTCCCCTCTCCTCCTCCTCACTTTCACTCTGCATAATCCACTCCCAGGAGCTCCAGGTCAGTTTTTATACTAATGACTTACAAATGAAATCAGTCAGTCGTCAATATTGAGCTCCAAATCACCATTTCCAGGTTCCTGCTGGTGCTCGCCACATGATGGAAGTTCCATGGACACTTCAGGCTCCATGCACGTGAAACGGAACTTACCATTTGTGCCCACCTCAAACCTGCTCCTTTATATTCCCAGTCATGCTGCCTGGAACCACCAAGCCTGACACCTGGAGCACCCGCGAAGGCTCCGCTTCACAGACCCCCCAGGCACAGGTAGTGGCGAAGTCCTGCGCTCTGCTGTCTGTAACATTTCCCACATCTTTCATCTTCCTGACTCTGAGCCCCGTCAGGCCCTTACTCTCTCCAGTTTGGAGCCCTGCAAGGGTCTCCTAACAAGAGCCCCCACCCTTAGTCTTGCTGACCTCCTACTGCCACCAGGGTCATCTTTCTAAAAACAAAAACAAAAACAAAACTTTATGTCATTCTCTAGCCCAAACCCAGTTCCTTCTCTAGCCTAAACCCTGTTGCCTACAAGACAAAATTCAAACACCACAGCAGGGTTTGCGAGCCTTCTGTGGCCTGCCCCTGTCCCCTCCCCTTTCTGCGAATTCCTGCCCCACTCCACCCCTTGCCGTTTTCCAAGGTCACTGTGCTCTCTCTTCTGTGCCTTTGCTCTTACTGTTCCCTCTTCCTGGAGTATCCTCTGTCCCCTGACTGCCTAGAGAACACCACTTAACTTCTGAGACTCGGTTTAAGAACAGTTTCCACTAGAAAGCCTTTTTTAAAAAAAAAAAAATCACTTTCATAGAGTAAAACTGACTGTCCGTCCCTTGTGTCTGCACTGCACCCATGACAGGGGCCAGGGTGGAGGGGAGAACCGATGGGGCTCTGTGTGATTCGGCTCTGGCTCACAGCTGTGCATCTCAAGGCCCTCTCCTTGAGGGTCCTCTCCTCATTGCTGTGTGCTCAGTGCCTCACTTGGCACCGGTGCCTGGCAGGGGCTCAGTAAATCTCTTCCATTGGTGCTGACTGGGAGAGTGGGTTTGTGGGAGGTCCTGGGAGGACTTTGACTTCCAACTACAGAAGGGTCTTGGGCTGAGAGTGGGGTTGTAAGACTTTATTTGCTCAGGGAAAAGTGCCCCCTCCCTCACTTCATCAGTGGCTTCCCTGGGGAGCCCTCTCTGCCCTGCAGTGGGTCCCAGGCAGGCAGGACAGTCAGAGGTAGGCTCTCCTGAAGGCAGAGTGACTGTTACTCCTGTTCCAGCTGCAGCCGAAGGAAAACACCTGCAAGAGAAGGGCGAGCTGGGTGGCAGGAATGAGGGCAGAGAGGGCAGGAGCTTGGTGGGACCCTCTGAGCATTTGCATTCAGTCAGTCATCCAGCGCCTGAGGGATCCTGTCCTGTGGTACAAGCTGTGCAATCACACATCGGGAAAAAAAATCCTAGTTGATCTTTCCCTCACTTCACCCTGTCTACAGCGGGTACCCAATCTCAGGTTGAAAAGCAGGACCTCAGCTTGGGACTCCATACTTAGTATTCTTTCTCCCATTTGTTGTGGGGCTGGTGGTGGCAGGACAGGGCCTGGGGCTGAAGGACCTTTTTACCTGAGCACTTGGCATAGATTGTCTTCTGGTCTCTGCTCTGGGTGACGCAGGACAGGTAAAGCTTCTGGTCCTCAATCTTTTCCACGTCAATGTTTAGTACAGCCAGAGAGCCCACGGGGATCAAGCTGGGAGAGGAGGAGGCTTAGCCCAGCCTTCACACGAGCCCCTGGGCCTCACTCCTTCACCCCTGTGATCCCCCATCATTCTCATCCCACCTTGCCTCAGGGACTTAAGTGGCCCTGGGCTCAGGGCCTGCCTGCCAGCCCCCAGAACTGGGGAAGGTGAGAGACAGGCGGGGCTCCTGTACCCCAACTGCCCAGGACAGCCACCCCCATGACTAAAAGGACCATGACTTTGGCCAACACCGTGAGGATCTGTACTTACTTTTTGAACTTGATGTTGAGGCTGAGTGTTAGCAGCCCCTCTCCAGCCAGGAAGGCAATTTTAGAAAAGGTCTCATCTATCATAGTTGTCAGGGACCCTCCATGGGCAAACCTGGGGTGGGGACAAGGAGCAAGGCTGGGCTGCAGCGCTGGGCACACTGGTTTCCTGCGCCTTCCCCACCCTGAGGCAGAATCACCCTGCCTCTACCTTTCCCAGGAAAAGAAAGGAAATGGAGCTGGATCCCACCTAATCGAATCAGTCAAAATCAACTGTTGCTTCAGCATGTGTTAGGTACAATTATTTTATTTCATCAGGAAAAAAGTTTTTTTTTCCTGATAGAGTTAATAGGAAAACATTTTTCTGATTCATCACCTAATTGCTGGCAGCAATCGCCAGAATTTGAGGGGCACGCTCAAAGAGGGGAAGGAAAACTCCAGACTTGTTTGGCTTAGTCACTGAGGAACAGGCCAGCTCCACCTTACGAGTCACTATGGCCAGTGCTGAGCCTACATTTTTTAAAAAAGTATTTATTTGTTTATTTTTTTGGAGACAGGGAAGGGAGAGAGAAATAGAGGGAGAGAAACGTCAGTCTGATCAGTTGCCTCTCTTATGCGCTCCAAAATCGGAACAGCGACCTTTTGCTTGGCGGGAGGACACCAAACCAACTGAGCCACACTGGCCAGGGCCTGAGCCTACATCTTCAAGACAGGTAACCGTGAAAGCTAACTTATGACCCAAGCTTATGACATAAAGTGCCGATAAAGGGGACTCCTGAGCAGCGCTGCCTGGGAAAGCCCAGGATCCCCTTCACAGGGTGCGGCCAGCGTCTGATTATTTGAAGTGCAGAAAACTCTCATTCTCTCTCTGTAGGCTGACCTTTGTGCCAACGCTACTTCATTGCTGGTTAAGTTGGGGAAAATTGAAAGGCACCTGGCTTTAGAATGCAGATAACACAACACAGATTCGAGTTTCTGACGTTCAAAAGCACAGTTCCCATTCTCCATGGACCCGGGCACCTGTCCGGGCTGGACCACATGGGTTACCCGTGGTACAGCTCCTCCCACCAGTGGGCTCGCCATGGAACCACGCCCACCTGGTGTGACTCCTGTTTGATGGGCAAGTTGCTGAACCTTTCTGAACCCTAGTTTTCCAGTATGAATTGTGAAAAAAAATTCTTATCAGATTGGTTGAGGTAATGTTTTCAAAGCCTCATATACGCTTCTGGTCACTCCCCTCCCCGCACTGCTTGAAAGAGGGAGAAAGGAGTTGGTGTCAAGAGCATAAGCCTGCCCCTTTCCCCTCGCTGTCCTCACTGGCTGGGCCGAGGCCGTTGGCAAGTACCTCGGTTCTGCAAGATGGCTCTTGGCCAGCCAGCAACCTATCTCTCCTTGCCTAGGGGCTGCATGGGTACTTGTGAGACAATAGAAAACTTGTTGATTGGCCTCTGCCCCCAGTGCCTGGCACAGAACTCCTGAAACCCTTGTGATTTCCAGGTAGATAGGAATCTTTTGTTAGATGGATGGCTTCTGGATGCGGCAGGTCACCAGAAAGATCAAGCGTGATTAGAAGCCTGAAATTTTCTGCCCTGCCTCCTCCCCCCACCGCGCCCCCACATTCCCTTGAGAAGGGAGAAGGACTGGCAATGGAGTTAATGATCAATCATGCCTACATGAGGAAGCCTCCACAGAATCCCAAATGTGTGGAGTTCAGAGGCCTCCAGGCTGGCAAACACACTCACACTGGGACGGTGATGCACCCCGATTCCACAGAGACAGAAGCTCCTGTGCTCAGGACCCTCCCAAGCCTTACCTCACACATCTCTTCATCCGAATGTTCACCTGTCTCCTTTATCAAATCCTTTAATAAACTGGTAAGCGTGTTTCCCTGAGTTCTCTGAGTCACTCTAGCAAATTAATCAAACCCTAAAAAGGGATTGTGGGAACTTCAGATTTGTAGCCAAATCAGAAGTTATAAGTAACTTGGGGACCTACTACTTGCGATTGGCATCTGAAGGGGGGGCAGTCTTGTAGGACTGCGTCCTTAACCTGTGGGACCTGACACTCTGTCCAGGTAGACAGTGTTGAAATTGAGGTAAATTGTGGGATACTTTGCTGGTGCCCCAGAGTATTGCTTGGTGTGAGGAAGAACCTCCGCACATTTGGTAGCCAGAAGTGTCAGAAGTGGAGTGTTCTGTGTGAGTAGCACAGGAGACACAGGGGAAAGAAAGACATGAGAACTGTGTTTTTACCTGCATAGGAGGTAGGCTGAACTGGGTTTTTCTAGTTCAGTAGTAATCTCTTCTCTGGACCCCCGCAGTACACTGCCCTCAGCGTGGGAAGGTCCTCCAGTAAAAGCCAGCCACGTGTCCCCCCCATCCCTGACTCCTTGAGGTTTTCCTCTTCGGAAGGGAGGGGATCCCTGACCTGGGCAGGGCTCTGGCCTCGTCCTCCGGGGTCTGCATGCACTAGTGTAGAAATCTGTCTCCATGGACGGTGCCAAGGGCTGCAGTCTGAACCCACCACCCATGGAGGGCTGACATCCACTAAACTCTGTGAATTCTTTTAAACTGCAATTGGGTCCTTATCAGGCCTTGGGACCCTGAAGCTTCTTCTTATCTCTCCTTTCTCTCTCTCCCTTGCAGGAACTCCAGCACCCCCAACAACCTTCAGTCACTGTGCAAAGCAGGAACTGGGATGGAGGAGAAGGTAGAAAATTATGGATTGGGTGGTTCACTAGCCTTAGGCAAGAGGCTCAGGGACAGCCTGATTTAAAACAATTTTTAAAAAATCCTTACCCGAGAATATGTTTATTGATTTGAGAGAGATAGAGAGAGAGAGAGAGACATCAATGTGAGAAAGAAACATCGATGTGAGAGAGAAAAATTGATCCATTGCCTCCTGTACGCATCCTGACCAGGGATCGAACCCACAACCTAGGTATGTGCCCTGACCAAGAATTGAATCCAGAAACTTTTGGTGTATGGAATGATGCTCCAACCAAGCCACCTGGCCAAAGCCACCCTGATATTCTTTGTGGATGTATTTATGTCCAGAGTGAGGTCTTTCCTAGCTCCCTCCCAAGTTTGGAAGCAGCAGAATACAGTGGAGAGAGCAATGGACTTGGAGCCCCGCTTCCTGGACTAGAGTCCCGCATCTGACCTTGATTGCATTGTGCTGTCTTAGGCAAATTAAGTTACCTTACCTCTGTGTGCATCAGTTTGCCTGTGGGTAAAACATGAAGTGTGGGTACATGGTGTGTGATAGCTATGTAGTGCTTTAAGTTGATGAGCACATAGGCCCATGATATTATACCTATCAGCCACTCTGGTAGGTAGGTATTATTGTCCCAGGTAAGAAGACTGAAAGCCAGAGGTTAAATTGCTTGCTTGGGGTTCCAAGGCCAGCAGTGGCAGAACAGGACTGGAGGCCTGGCTCCTCATTCCAGATCTTGTCCTCTTCCAAGTTCACCACATCCCTCTCAAAGTGGCCTGTAAAACCCCTTCTTACTGGAAAATTCTTGCACTTGGGAGGAATTCCTGCAGCTGGGAGGGAGCTAAGGAGGCTCTCCCTTATCTGCACAATAGGACTGGACTAAATGACCCAAATGTCCTTGCAGTCTAGTGCAACCCCACCCAGCCCCTTAGGGAGAGGTACAGTCGCAAGACCTGGTGTGTGCCCAATCCACCTGCTGAGCCAAGCCCCAGAAGCAGCCAAGCCACCTCAGCCTTATCTGTAGTCTTACCCAGGGGGCCCCTCCAAGTAGGGTCCTGGCTGGAAAAGACAGATGGACTTCTTCTTGGATGGGTGAAAAAAGATGGCATACTCGAAGCCTTGTCCTTCCACTGGGATGCACCTGGTGAAGAGGCGCCAGTCACTTTTGTCTGGGGAGAGATGGGCATTGGAGCAGCTAGAGAAGGGAATGCACAAGGGCAAGGGGCTGGTGCAGGTTGTAGTGCCAGTCATTCAGCACCATGGGGTTGAGGCCTGAGTCAGGCACAGGGTCAAGGAGAGAACCAGAGGACACCCAGGCTCCACACCCAGGAGTCTTCCATTGGAGACCGGAGGCACGGCCATGTCCCCCAGGAGCCCTTGGTCTGGAGGGAGAAACACTCAGGAAGTTCCCTGGCTAAGGGTGGGCATAGGGTCAGGGTCAGGTCAAGACTTTAACAGACTCTATACACTGAAAATTAAAAAATGCAATTCATGTAATTCATGTATAGTAATTCAAAATAATGACAGTACTAAACAGCAAAATAAATGCAGAAAAGCTCACCCAAATTCTGATCCCCACCCCCCAAGACAACCACAACTATATCCTTTTTAGATGAGTACCAACTTCTTTTAAAAATTACTTTGGTGCCCTTGCTTTGTTTGTGGCATAAACCCAAGGGTAGTCTGTGTACCATACCACCCCTTCCTCACTGGGCAGGAAAAACATACACATGAAATGAGAGAGACAAGAAAACATGGACACACGCTCGCTTGAACCCAGGCACATGCACACGCACACGTACAAGCAAAAAGATGGAGGTGGAAAGCTCTGTTAATCTGGTGGGGGGCGGGTGGCCTGTAGAGCAGAGCACGGGCCTAGCAGAGCATGGATGTGGGCCAGGCCTGCGGTGGGGGAGGGGGCCCCAAAGCCTTTTGGGTTAGAGGAGGAGGATTTGGGATGAGGCTGAAGGGCAGGGGGCTGAGATGGCAGTGTTCCCGTGCGACCTCTAGGGTGAGCTCTGTCAGATGGGAGGAGGGAGCCCAGACAACCAGAGGATGCCTTCCCTGTCCAGGGCTGCAGCACAGGGGGTGGAGTTAGCAAAAAAAACTTTTACCTGAGAGTCGAGCCTTGAGTTCCCTTCCCCAGCATCTGTGATCACAGGGGAAGGGGTTGGCTGACCTGACTCCGTCTCTGGTGGGCTGGGACAGCTGTGCTGATGAACCCTCTCAGGCCAGGACTTACCTGAGGTGGCTGCTAACCCAGATGGGAGCTTGAGCCCCTGGATGTGATCTCTGTTGGACTTGAAGGAAGGCACTTTGACCCAGCCATCGGTCTTAGTCTTCTCCAGAAATTCCTGGTACAGGCTCAGCATGTCTGGACACCAGCTGGCATTGGGAAGGGCATAATCCTTTAAATCTGTCTTCTCTAGGCAGAACCTTGAGACCTGAATGAGAAAAATCAGGGAGATTAGACGAGTGTGCTCCTGCATTCTTGGCTTCCTTATCCCTTCCACCAGTGTTGACCTGAGTGAAATGCCCATCTTCCTCGCAGAGGGCTTGGGTGACTGGGCTAGGAGACCCTAAGGCCTAGTAAGGGGAGTAAAGGAATTGGGTCTGACAATTTCTAGGGGCATGTTGCTTGTGGTTTGTGCCTGGTAATTATCCTGTTTTAAAACCTGTGAGCTGTTCTTTGAGGCTATGAATTGCCAGGATTAACCCCACGGTAGAGATGGGGAAACTGAGGAAATATGGTTAATGCTGCTAAGCTTTAACCATATTGAGTGTGAGAGCTGATGGTCAGACTAGAGCCCTTTCTGAGAGACTGTCTTCCCTAGGGGCTGACCACAGCTGGTGAGGACCATGGTTACCACCTCTCCCCTCAGGGACTACTGCAGCTTGTCCACAGTTGTGGGCCTGCCCCAGCAGGGCAGCTCCTTTGAAAAGGGTTTTGAGTGCCCAGAGAGGTGGAGAGGCGGAGAGACGTGGTACAACCTGTGGGGTGAGGGGTCCCCTATGGCTTCACATGCTTATGCATCAATCACAGCTGTGGTCAGTAAGCCAGGGGCTTGCCAAGATCACACACAGGGTCCTCCCACTGGGGATGCCCCAGCTCAGCTGCAGCAGGAGGAGAGAGATCACTGGATGGCCACACTCAAATCAGGCCAGGACGACAGTGTCCTGGTGGTCTTAGTTTTTGATCTAGGCTACTTGATATCCCCAGAGCACCTTCCCTTTGCCAAACTAAATAGCTCCCCAACAACTGTCTACCTGCCCTGGCCACAATCTAGGAAGAGGAGATTTGGGGTGCTCCTTATGCCCTAGGCCCCCAGGAGAAGGGCTGTCCATTGGCTGAGCTGGGAACTCACCAGGGAGTCCGTGGAGGATCCGAATGCTGAGGCAGGGTTGAGTCTGGGCAGGATGTGGGCGGCACCAAGAAGGGCTCCGTGGTGACTGAGTCTTGCTGCCCCTTGGAGGCCTCTTCTTATCATGGCTGAGCACTGGGGTCTGGTCGGCAGGGCTGCTGGCCGACTCCTGAGGAAGCAGCAGGCGAGAGCACTTTTCAGCAGCACCTTGGGGCCTGTGCAACCTGCTCTCAGACAGACCTCCCTCCTTTCTGTCACAAAGCTTTCATCAGCAGCCTTCCACTGCAGGAGGTCAGACAAGACCGGGTTGGTTGAGAAACACCCATAGGTGCTTAGGGCCTTAGCCCCACCCAGGGCTTGGGGAGGGGCGGATGCTGTTAGGGCATGAATGCATAGCAGGGCTGGCTCAAGTCCAGAAAGAAGTATTTGCTAAAGAAGCAAAAAAAAAAAAAATGCATAGAGGAATAAATAGTACATAGAGGTTTGGAGAGCTGCCCTGGAGCTCTGGGGGGAGAACCCAAAAGAATTCCCAGAAAGATAAAGGAAGGCTGTCTCTTGATTTTAGGGTGTTGGTGATGTGTCTGTGTATGTTGGTGTGTGCTCTCAAATCTTTGTTACCTTTCTGGGACTCAGAAAACCAACACCAGGCCCTTATCCAGGCAGAGAGCAGCACGGGGAATCCCCTACCTGCTGGTTCCCAGCAAGGATAGACGGGGAGGGGAAGGACTTGGAGGGGAGGACAGAAGATCAGGTGGGAGGAAGCAGTTTAGCAAGGGTACTCTGTCACTTTGGAAACTCCAGGGAGGGGATGATGGCAGCAGAAAGTGCTGAGGGTGAGGGGGGCATGGGCGGCGGGGGCAGGGGAGACTTTGTCACTGCTAAGCCTGGAAAAGAGGTAGGTTTGAGTTGGGGGGTTGGCAGTACTCAGCCAGCATTTGCAAGGTTGTGGACTTTTTTCTTCTGGTGGTGTTTCTTTGTTTCAGTTGAAACTGCCAGTTTTCAAGTAAAAGTCCCAGTTTCTAGTTCACTAGAATAAAGCATATTCTAAAGATCAGAACTGTACAAATGTAGAATTATAAGAATAATAATGGTGATGACATTTTGGCAGGTTTTAAAAGAGCAAACTGATTTAACATGGAAATTTAAGAGTTTTGTCCTACCTTCTGGATTTGGCTGTCCTAAAAGACTAAAATATAAATATTTTCCTCATCTCTTATGAAGCTTTGAATGAGACTTCCTCAAGGACTGGAGGAACCAGTTTTTTGCTCTATCCAGGTTCTGGGTCCAACCAAAAATATACGAATTACTTGTCCACACTCAAACAGAGTTTCATACAAAGCAGGAGGTCAGGTATCTCCAGGTGAGTGGAAAGATCTGGCAGAGGGGGAATCTTCATTCCAGCTGTGCAGCAGCAGCAGCAGCAGCTAGCCAGAGCTGACCTCCCGTGCCTCTGGCTTGCCCTGGGGCCTCCAGGGTACTGGGTATTTCTTCCTTCCCTCTGCCTGCCTCTGCGTGTGATTCTTGATTTGGAAGATGAGACTTGAGGAGGCGATAAGAGGATCTGAGGAAAGGGAGAGAGTAAAATCTCCCCAGGGGGCCTCAAAGACTGGAAACTGATCTCAGAAAGGTTGCCCAAGAGAGATGCAAGGGCTGTTCTCCCAAGAGTCAGTAGTTGTACCTGGGAAAGGAAATTCTTGTTTCATTGCCTCAGAGCCACTTGGGAGCTGGGTTATCACCCTTTCATGGCCAGACTTTCTTTGCAGATTGTACATCCCAGTGGGATCACCATCTCTTGTTGCCTGACTAGAGGAGTAACACCTTCTGGAAAATAATAGAAAATTATTGGTCTTTGCCCCATGTTTCTGGCACAGAACTCCTAGATCACTTAGAATTCCCTGGGTGATAGTGTAACTGGAAAAGACACCAGCGTTTGGGCTACTTGTCACTACCAAACCCAACAGGCAATGACAGGGATTGAATCTTTATGGGCACTTTATTCAGGTGGCTGGCAATCTGAGAAGATGGTGGGTTCATACCCTGACAAACCATCTTCCCTTCTCTTTCCCAGACAGAATTTTTATAAGGTGGGGGTGAGCGGATAAACAAGGAGTGGTGACAGCTTTGAAATTCAGGTAGGATTAGATGAGGGAAGCTTCAGCATTCCTCTTCTGGGCAGTTAGCTGTTTCCAGGGAAGGGTGGTCATCTGCTCTCCCTGGAACACAGAAGGTCTGGGTGTCCCCTGGTGGTAATCTTCTATCAGTGCCCCAGGGGGCTGGCTGTTTTCCCAGGAGCTAGGTCGGGCCTTATCTGTAGTTTCTGAAACAAAAGCTTTAATGTACACATTACTTGCTAGACTTATAGCTTTTTCCTTAAGCTAAAAATTTCCAAATCTTGAGACCCCTATCAATAGGAGTGTCTTTTGTTCTAAGGAGAGGACTCTGGGTGGGCTCCTGGGTGTAGCTGATCACCAGAAGGACCAAGCTATGATCAGAAACTTGGAATTTTTAGTTTCACTTCCCATCCTGCAGGAAGGGGAGAGGGACTGGAGATTGAGTTGATCATGCCTCTGTGATGAAACCTCCCCTAAATCCCAATAGTGTGGGGTTTGCAGAGCTTCCAGGTTGACAAACCCCAGCTCCTTGGAGACAGAAGCACCTGTGCTGGGACCCTCCTGCACCACGGCCTATGTACCTCTCCATCTGAATGTCCATGTGTATCCTTTATTGTAACCTTTATCATATAATAAACTGGTAAACATATGTAAGTGTTTCTCTGAGTTCTGTGAGCTGTTCTAGCAAATGATTGAATCCAAGGATGGTGGGAACCTCTGATTTGTAGCCAAGTCAGACAGACGTTGTGGGCAACCCAGGGACCTACTACTTTTAGTTGGCATCTGAAATGATGTCAACTCAGTCATGGGACTGAGCTCTTAACCTGTGGGGTCTGCACTTATTCTGGTTAGTGTCAGAATTAAAATGTGGGGCATCCATCCAGCTGGAATCACAGCGAATTACTAGCTGTGGAGGAATAACTCCCACCTCTGGTGTCAGAAATGTTGTGTGGAGAGTGAAGTAGAAACACAAAATTTTTCTTATAGATACCCTCCCACTTTAGTTGTTTCACAATTTTTGGTTAAATCAACTTTCAAATATTTATATCATTATGAGTTATGTACATTTTGCTCTGGGCTTTAGCACATATTATATAGTTCTATTTCCTTTCTTGTATAACTCTTATTTTCCTTGAGTTGATAATTACCAAGGTCTGGCTGGATGCTCTGGTCTAGGGGGAATACTGGGGAACTGAAGGAGTTGACCGGAGGTTGAGATGATCAATCATCATCTCTCAGCTGGGAGGGAAGAGAGTCCAAGAGAAAGAAAGGAAAAGAAATGAAGGTCTGGCCAGATCTGTGGTACTGAAGAGCAGACATAATGTGTTCAAGAGTATGGCCAATTGAAGGTCATTAGAAAAAAAGTGTCTGAGAGAACATTGATGGTGATGGCAAAACCATGGATGAGGCCCCAGTTTGGGTAGCTGGAGTAGTATGGAGGAGGCCGGCAAAGGCCATCTTGGAAGAGAAACATTAGAATTGTTGGAGAAAGCACTCTTCCCCTTTTCTGACTCTTTTCCCGCCGTTTCACAGATCTTGTGGATTCTTCCTATAACAGTGATCTGTTTCTAGATGTGGATTGGGAGGTCAGCTATCCAGAAAGATGGGAAGGTGCTTGGCTAGTGCCTTGAGTGGTTTCTATTACATGGGCTTTGGCCCAGCAATCCTGTGAACTCAAAGAGATCAAACAAAACCAGGTCAGAGAAAAGAAAGTGTCTCCCCAGTCCTGGGCTCTCTGGGGAAGCAATTAGAAAAGAGGAGGCCAGTCTTGTTGCCTGCCTGGTCCATTTCCAGTTTGGGATCCATGGGGCAATGTTGAGTCTGCGGCTTCTCTTGTTGAGATATTACCTGTCTCCAGAAGCACATCCTGGATCTGACCTGCCAGGAGGTGCGCAGGAGAACCGGCAGTGCTGTGCTGGTGAGTTGTTAACAACCAACTCTTTGCAGGGAGGAAGCTCTAATTGGTAGCATTTGCCAATTTCTGTGGTGTAAATATTCCCAGAGTGGCTGATTTCAAGCTGCCAGTGTGAAGCCACTGACACTGTGAAGGTGGGAAGAGATGTGCACAATTGGCTCCTGCAAGTTGGTAGGGACCAGCTCTAGTACACCACTGAACTAGAAACTTCTTTGGTATGGAGAGAAGCAACAGGAGTAAGCAAGGCCTTGGTAGGTTCAGCGATCACTTCTTGGTTCCAGCCTTTTCTTCCTCTCATCAGGCTCCCACATCTAAAGTCACCCCACTTCTTTCCTTGGAGCTTCCTGTCCCCACAAGGCCGGCTATGCTGTAGCACTTAGTCTTTCCAGGTCGTTCTGGACATGTGGTGGAGCTCCCCTGAGGGGAACTGCACTTCCAGGTTGTTCTGTCGGGATGGCCCCCACCTGGAAGGAACTTCCATGGTGGTCCTCCCTAGATGCTATTGCTATTTAGTCCTCTGTGAACTCAATCCCCCCTGAAGATGGCCCTGTAGGCTCACCTAGGGTGATAGCTGGTAAGCTCCCAGACTGCCATTAGCCTCTCAGTTCATGGTTGACCTTTAGACTCTGCTCCAGCTGACCCGGCCCTCAGGGAAATTCAGTTTCTTGATATTATGAGCTAAGGGTCAGGGGTCAGGCTGGGCGGGGGCAACTGTGCACAACAGAGAGTGAGGGGAAAACTGGGGGTACACAGAGCAGGCGGCCCTGGCTCAGCCTCACTCAGGAGCTGCCATGATGCAGGACAGGCCCAGTGCCAGCTTCTCTGCTTTTTCAAGAAAAGCCAGCCCAAATCCAGACTTGTATGTGAGCCTTCTAACATTTAGACGTTGCAATAGCTTTATAAAAAATATTGCATGAACCAAAGCAAACATCTCCAGCTGGATCTTGTCCTGCAGGCTGCTGATTGTGCCACATGGTCCCTTTCCTCTCATCATTCTCCCCAAGTCTGTTGCTTGTGTGCCCAGATCCAGTCTCTCTGCTCCCAGATCGGCTGTCTTTTCCTGGTTCCTTTTGGGAGGGACCTTCCTAAGATTCAATTTACAACATCGACACCCGCAGTGGGCCCTTTGGAAAGGAAAATAACTCTCACATGTTGAAGCCAGATGGTGGTGCACTGCCTCAGGGTTTTGCTTCATCTAGTTTCTAAGGTTTTGGGTCTTGGTTGTGGTTGGGAGGTACTCATGGGGATGCTTGGGGAAGGGCAGAAACTGAGCTTCAGACTATAACCAACATAGGGAAAAGGCTGTCTTCACCCAGCGTGGGGCACAGTATGGAGGTAGAAAATGTGGTTGCTTAGTACTCTGCTCAAAGGGACCCTGGGTGGCTGGACTGGTGGGTGCCCACCTGGAAGGGCAGGGCTGTGGCAGAGGATCATGTGCAGAGGAACAGGGGGCTGATAGTAGGTGCTGGCTCCAGGTGCCACTGCCTGTGTGATTACTGGGCTGATGGAGGGGTTTGTACGGGGACAGAGAATGTGCCAGGAATGAGGGGAACTGAGCTGCCCCCAGAAATGGGAGAGCCCCTACCACATCTCAGCTGGAACCGAGTTCCTACTTGTGAACCCATAAGGGCAGAGGCAGGACCTCTACACTCAGACAGTGACAAATCCTGAAGGGTGTGTGTTTTGTGTGTGTGTGTGTGTGTGTGTGTGTGTGCACACTCAGGGTGGGCGTGCAGGAACTAGCCAGGTCTGAAATCCCCTTTTCCTCAAACCCAGACAATCACTG